CGATCGTGAAGAGAATGAAGAGCGAACCCATCATGATCACACCTGGCAGAGCAGGGTAATCGTCGGTGAATAGATCCGGTAGGCATGGGTCGTTGAGCGACGCAAAGGCAGTCGGCAGTAGATGGACAAAGGCAGTAGCGATTAGAACACCAGTACCAAAGTGCTTGCAGAAGAAGAAGACCTTCGGTGGGATCTTCATCCACTTGACCTTCTTTGCCACTACTGGAAATCCAGCACCGAAGATGGAAGCGAAGAACACAATGACTAAGAAGACGTTAGTGGTGTACTATGATCGGCTTGGATGTACTTACAAACTGCAGCAACGTGCAGAGGAAAGTCATAGACGGCAGCATCCGCCTCGCTGCCGCACTGAGGCTTCTCCGTGTCGGACATTGCGAAGATTACAAAGAATGTATGTTTAGTTCAAGGAATGTGTGGAATAATCCCAGACTTGCCAGCAGTCCCGTCGCCGGCGACGATGAACAAGAAGAAAGAGACGAAGAAAGAAAGGAAGTCAACACACTCTCTCAAAGAGTAACAAGAACTGAAAACGCACAGAAGTGATGTTGTGAATATGGGCAGCAGGCTCGGCACTCCAGACTATGTATTGCTTTAAGGGCCAGTAGGATAAGAGACACTAACCGCATCATGCAGATCTGCACGTCTCCAGAACACCTGAAGACGATAGTGGGACCTCGATACAGTGGCCTGTGCCTCAGCTATCGCCTGCAGTGATAGGTGCTCCAAGCAGCAAACGCGGAGGTCCAGACGGTGTCAGGACCAGCCAGCCTTGCGCCGAAGACGAAAGAAGCATTGCCATGAGGTTTCCAGGCAGGAACTGGAATTGCCTGCGCCCAGCCTTCGAAGCTCATTGGAGACGGCTGTCATGCGCGTAGATGCTTGGCAGGCACGCTCGATCTGCGAAGGGGTGGGGATGTGATGCGGCTCAAGTCTCGTTTCCGGCGAGTGGGCCAAGCGAGTGGGACGGCTGACGAAGTGTGGAGGTGCGAAGCATTAGGGGTGAGGCTTGACTGCTGCCATCTGGTGCAGATGGAGTTCGAAGTGGCTCAGCATGCCGATGTCGTTGGCCAATGGGCCGTTTCGCGATTGCGTTGACGTGTGTGGGCCAAGCTCGGCTTAGTTTCGTGCCGTAGTGATAAGCTTGGCATGGGCAGACTCGGTGAGTTTTGAAACCTGGAGATGTAAAAGAAAGTCGTCGTGGGGATATAGATGGCGTCCACTATGGCCCCACGCTGCAGCCGATGCAATCCTGCCGCGGCGATCACTGCGTTCCAAGGCTGCGCTATCTGTCAGGCGTGTGACGATTTTAGCCGGAGGGAAAGAACAGCCAACCCTGGAGAACTTGCGACGCGTCTTCCGAGTCATCAAACCACCGCACCAACAGCAATTCCATCAAGCCCACCTCAAGAATGGAGATGGGTGTGTGGGGACGCGTTCGTCCACAGATGACAAGCTTTTCAACGCGTCTTAGCATCGCAAAAGTTCCGGTCAGTGTAGATCGCCGCTAACATCTCCACGTTGTACACGCGTGCGCGGGCATTTTCACCACGCCTCCGCGCATGCAGACAGCCAAGCCTTATAAGGTATCAAGACAAGGCCAAGCTCATCAAGTCATACCATAACAGGTATCACGACTAACCCACCATGTACTAGCGAGCCGTTGGAAATGCTTAGCGAGTTTCATGCTCCGTGCCCAGCATTCTTACACCTGCACCAGCGCGCAGTATTCACACATTGTGGCACCGAGTAAACGATCTGGCCATTCCACTATGACTTCAGGGTTCAGAGAAAGAGACTCCTGCGGAGGAGGGCGGGAAATACGCCGCGGTGGCGTTCGCAGCGGTGCTTTATTACATTGCATGCCCTGAGCTGAGGCATATATCACCCACTTCGTAACTCGCACACCGTAGCAGATCCTAGAGATCGCCCATACACACACATACGCGTCCCTCAGCCCATTGTCCGGACACCATGACTTCCGATCTTCACAGTATGTCTCAGGCAACCCAAGCCCGTGGTTCTCTTGTCTGACTGTCCGTCTAGCTTCACCTAATGGCCCATCACACGACCAAGCTGCTGGGCAAACAAGCGCTCCAGTAGGCTCTGGCACTACGCCTTCGTCAAACCAGGCCAATGTCGGCGCCGAGCATAGGACAGATGCCATTGAGCGGCTGTCGTCTGTAGACAATGCATCGTCGCGGGGAGCCAAGGACGATGTCACCATCACCGTCCACAACGATCCACTCGATCTCCGCAAACACATGCGCGACGATGTGACCCAGAAACAGATGAAGAGTGACTATCCACTCGCCAAGCCCAGGCACATGAAGAAGTTCTACACAAGACAGAATGCCTTGATCGACCAATTTCTCCAGAGCGGAGATGAAGAGCGCTTGGCTGCTCTTGACATGGTCGAGAATGGACCCAAGGTCCGCTTCGCCGTGAACGCATCCTTCATCGTCAACTTCTGCTTGTTCATCATCCAGATGTACGCGGCTATCTCCACAGGTTCGTTGTCGCTGTTCGCGACAGCTGCGGACGCCTTCATGGACTTGGTGTCGTCGGTGGTCATGCTCATCACATCGCGCATGGCAGCACGGCCAAGCGTTTACAAGTACCCCGTGGGGCGGACGCGTATCGAGACGATCGGCATCATCATGTTCTGCTGTTTGATGACAACGGTAGCCATCCAGCTCATCGTAAGTACTCCTTCCCATGTGGCCGGCTCAGCTATTGACATGTAACAAGATCGAATCTGGGCGTTCCTTGGCTGGCGGTGCCACGGAATCGGAGGAGCTCCACATCATCCCCATCGCCTTCGTTGCGACAGCCATCTTCTGCAAAGGCTCCTTGTGCGTCTACTGCTTCATCTATCGGCGTTACCCCGCTGTCCACGTCTTCTTCATCGACCATCGCAATGACATTGTCGTCAATGCCTTTGGTCTTGCCATGTCGATCGTCGGTAGCCGCGTCGTCTGGTATGTCGACCCTATCGGTGCTATTCTCATCGGTCTCTTGATCTTGGTTTCTTGGGCTGCCAATGCTTTCGATCACGTCTGGCTGTTGGTTGGCAAGTCCGCACCCAAGGACTACATCAGCAAGTTGATCTACATGGTTGTTACGCACGACGACAGGATCCAGAGAGTTGATACTTGCCGCGCGTACCACGCTGGACAAAATTACTACGTTGAGGTGGACATTGTCATGGACGAGGGTCTGCCGCTGAAGGTCACTCACGACGTCTCGCAGACCCTGCAGAGGAAGCTTGAAGGTATGCCTCATTCACTCATTAGTAATCACGACACGATACTAACAAGCGACAGGTCTTGCCGACGTTGAGCGAGCCTACGTGCACGTCGACTACGAAAGCGAGCACGACATTTTCGAGGAGCACAAGCCCCTCTACGAAGTCACGCAGTCGAAGACTATCAAAGAGCGCGTCAAAGCTTTGCGCTACTTGTTCAAGAAGAACGAGAAGGGTGCTTGAGCATCGAAACCTGTACGCTATGTATTTTTACGATGCCGTCGGCATCAAAAGTTTACGTTTTCCTTTACCTCATTTATACCCCGGCGCAGCAATACACAAAGCCGCTGTTGATACTGTTACTGTTAATGCGAATGTTATTGTTAATAAGACTCACTGTCTTAACCCTGAAGCTGTCTTCTGCATCGTGTTTCTCCGTACTGATCTTTCTTTGTCTTAAGCCTTTGACACCCTACAATGGTACCAAACCCACTTTTAGACAGCCACTGCCTCTGTCCCTTGACTTTGTGTCTCTTCCCGTCATTCGTCTTACCAGCAGAATTTCTCAACTTCTTCCAGAAGTCTGACGCCTACATTCCCTGCTTCATAGTTCACATAGCTATCTACCCATCTTCATATCCTGCCAACCCACGATATGTCTCAATCTGTGCCATCCCCCAGACCAGCACCCGAGGACTCCGAAATTACTCATAGAGAATCATCATCAGTAACAGCCGCATCAGACCACTCCGATGACACCGATGATACAGCAAGTACCCATGAAGAACCATCATCACCAGTAACAGCACCATCCGACCACTCTGATGGCACAGCTGATGCCGCTGACTCAAAACCCTCTACACCCGAAGCCGAAATGAAGGAACGTAAGCCTCTAAGCAAAGTACAAGAACTAGCAGCTTGGTATGATTCACAAGCGAACGGAAACTTGAGACTGCAAGTTCTGACGTGGGATGGAAGGGCTGTAGATGCGCCTAAAAACGAGACTAAGAAGTCTAAGAAGTCTGCGCAAGCGGAGTAGGGTTTGATGTAGCAAGGCAGGATAAATGATTTTGTTCGTGGGGTGGAAAATGCGAGGGGATGGGCGGGTCAGATGGATGTCTGCTCGTTTGAAGAAGGATGGGCGTTGGATTAGCGCATGTAGCGACGAACCATTATTTGGTCAGCTTGATCGCGTGGTAGTACCCGTAATCCTTTCGCGTATAAAGTCCTCTTCATCGTTTTCTTCATCTCCGACAGTGACATCCCCAAGAAAGCAAGAGTGGTTATCATGTTCGGTTTCCATTATGGCAATCATTCCTTGGTTTCTTTGGCAAACGCAGTATCACAATGTTGTGCTGTACAACAATGTTCAGGCGTGTTGCGAAGAGACTACCAGGCAGATGTATACGACTGAGCGGTGTGGGTTCAAGTTGGGGGATTGTATGAAGGTTGTTAGGGCTTGTGCTGAGGAGGTGCGCGGCAGGACTGAGGGAGGGGAGTATAGAGGGAGGCTAGATTCACTTGAATTCATTAAAATAGGTCCAATTCCCTTATAATGTTTCTGGAGTACATGATTTCTCCAAACTAAGCCGGAGGCTCATATGCTGAGCACATGGACGAAGGGCAGAAATGTGCGCTATCATCCTTCAACTCATCGCCTCCATCATGCCTTGCGATTTTGGTCTGCTGAACATAGAGCTGTGCTCGTGCCGCGCCAAGCGAACAACCCTCACAATCAAGTCGTTTCACCGGCCTTCTTGTGCCCAACCCAATGCGACATGAGGACAGTTTCACCGTACTCACTCGTTTCCGCAAGAACTTCAGGGCACCACGCTTCTTTTGCGAGGATACCCCACGCGCCTGTGGACCAGAGCGAATCGTTTAGAGCCCCAGTGCGGCTGTCGTGAAGGCGGACATCTTCCTTGTCGAAATTGATGTAGACCTCAGCAGTGCCATCACCGAAGGACAGCCATGCACCCCCATCGCAACGAGCGGCTTCGGCGCGGGCTTCACGGTTGACGAAGAAGTGTGTAGGGTAACCTCGGTTTGTAACAACGTAGAAACCATCGCGGTTCATGAACAGCGTGACGTTGTTCTCTACCCGAACGGGCGTCCAGAAGCGATCTTCACGGGAGAGACGCTCCTTATACTGATCTTGAAGTGCGATAGCCCAGATCTTGACGCGGATCTCGGCAGGTAGGCGGGGGAATGGATGGAAAGTCGGTTTCAGGCGAAGTTCTTTGGCGTCGGTCGATAGTTCTGGGTCGATAGGGATAGGGTTGAACCGCTGCATCCAACGATCTAGAGGACCCATTTTGGGGCGGAGTTTGATATAGATGCTTGTGACTGGTTTTGGAATGCGATCGTAGCGACCGACAAGAGTTGATGGGAATGCAAGTGGAGACAGTCGGGCCAGTCCGCCTAGGAGATGGATTTGGTCGCTCTCTTGAAGAAACGATGGTGTAGACAGGAAGCTGGCAAAAAGTGAGAGAGGGCAAAAGTTTCCGTGTAGCGAGGCCGCCCATCACCAAAGGTGAAGGCAAGAGCGTTTGTCGGTGCACGTGACGCCAAGCCCAGCGTCGTCATGATGTGATGAGGCACGGTTTCGCGACTTCCTCACACTCACCTCGCTACGCAGCTTCTCAGCTGTCATCCGGAGTAGTTCCCCATTAGCTGCATCACGCCAATTCTTTCACACTGGCCATAACGCGCACGTTTTGTCGGGGTAACAACCGGTCCGCCCGCCAGAGTAACCCCAATGATGAGCGCGAGAGTCCAGGTAGTCGCAGCCGGAACCATAGTCGCCGACCTGTCACCGATTTTGTGACTCCAAAATGAGTCGGTGGCCTCTTCGACAAGACAGACGTGTATCTTGATACAATGCTGGAGACGTGGTGTGATAACCAACACACAGATTGGCGTTCCGCTTACAGCTCAAGCTCGCGAACGCTGTTACTCGGGTATATATCGTCTTTGCTTGATACTTGCTGAATGTGTTAGTCAATCCAAAAGTCGATACTAACAAGACCCACGAGTCTAATAACTCTTGTTTTCCTGTGACAGAAACAAGCATTGTTCTCTCGACAACCGGAGCTCAGTACGCCGGAGGATAGCATAATAGCTATGTTAGCGAATGTCGCTAGGCTCGTCTTCCATGATTTCTACAGAACAAGTCCTCTCGATGACAGCCACGGACGACTAGACCGGAGGACTCGGATACTGAGCAGCCGGGTTATCCGGCGAAGACCTATGACCCGTACTTGACGGCGCCTGGCTTGTTGCTGCCAGCGCAAAGTACGGATTATCCGGCATAGACATTCGCTTCGGCATGATACTCGCCAAGCTTGGCAACGTAATCTGCACCCTCGTCTCCGGCTTCGGATTAAGCTGAATCAGTAGATCCGCCTCTTTAATCTCCCTCAACACATCTTCAACATCACGCCCCTTCCTGACCCGCCTCAACAGCTCATAGGACTCGCTATCGGAGCTCGTCCGGATCAACTTGAACAGTTCGACGTAGGCTTCGTTCTCGGCTTCCAAGGCATCGTATTTGCGTTTCAGTGCTTGGCCCTGGGTTTCCGACGACCGGGTAGCGTAGTGGCAGGATGTTGTCCGCTTGACGCATTCGATACAGACGGGTCGCTCGCCGTTACATTTGATTTTCCTCGCGCGACATTGGTCGCAAGCGGATGCGACGCGATCACGGGGTAAAGGCGGGAGAGGTTCGTTGCGCGGGCGAACAGCAGACGGGAGGAGTGGTCTGAGTGGACGCATAGCGCTCGATCGAAAACGAAAAGGCCAGCAGCAAGAGACGTGCTCAAACAGAACAAAAAGTCGTAAAAACGAAGGCTTAGAATCTGATGATAAATACGGTCATGGTGGGGCCCAGAAACGTGGTCTCCTTCCCATCTTTTAAGGGATGGAATTTGTCGAATATCGATGCTGCTCAAAAAAGACCCAGGCCTCCGGGATCTCGATGGTAATTGGAACGCGGCAAGTTTGCCCGCCAATCGGAAGCCAGAGAGATGCGGATTGCGTGCGTCGCCGAACTTCATCTTCTGCGCAAGCAGTCTTTTACACAATACGCGTGTTTGGAATGCGAACCCGGGAAGTGCCGTTACGTATCGTCATCTTTGGTGTTTATTTAACATGCATCTTGGTACTGCGGTTTGCGCAAGAAGCCCATGTTTCCGCCACAAGCACTCCAGCACTGGGCATGGCATGATGTCGTTATTTGGAAAACGTACCACGTCGTGATTGGCGACGGTACAATAACTCCGTGTGTATTTCTCATTCGCCAACAAGACATATACTAGAAAGAGATTCGATGGTGTACTGTAGCAGATGCAATGGTCGTTCCACATTCGTCCTACTAACGGTGCACCTGCAGCTGTGCAAGCAGGGCTTTACTCCGGTTAGCCGCATCGAGATTTCTGCGGCTGCATCTGCCATGCATAGACAGCAGATGATTTGTCTCCACCGCAATAGTCTTGGTCTCGTATCGTTGCAGCCTCGAAAACGAAAAGCTACGGCCGCGGTCCTGCATTATACGGATGGTTCAAGGTGGAATTACCTCCTTGGGGTAATCCAGACGTCAACGCAGACAACAGATGGGGTATGCCTTAGCGTATGCTAGTGTGTGTCGGACCTGTACTTCGAAAGGTGAGGGCTGCATGCTACCGATGAGGAAATGGCGTCGCACCGGAGCGTCGTCCGCAGCTCAATTGGTTGTTGTCAGCAAGCGTACGGCGGATGGATGCGTGCGACACGTAGTGGCATCGTCGGAGATGGAGGCACGCGCTCCAGATTGAGGTTGGTAAGCTGGGGGTGCGCTTCATTGGCTGGGACCTCCTCCCGCGAGACCCTGATCTACGAGCGATTGAACACCGTCATTGTTGTTTACGCTGCTGTGATTTCATATCTCACGATGTTTTCGACGATGACGAGTCCGGAAGATGAGTCGATAGTGCCCTTGTGGTCTCTACGTTAGAAACGGCTCGAACTGATACAGCGGATTAAGTAATCGGTATAGTTTCTCAATCCGCCGCATGCAACTTGTGGCTTGGATTATTATGGAGCGAACGCTACGTTATTCGGCCCGCACGCACATGCTCATCGGTGAAGAAGGCCGTTCCAGTCGAGTCTTTTCCGTGTCCTGTGGTTGAGAGACATTGCATGGGAAGAATGAGTCAAGCAGATGTACCATGAAACTCTGTCGGAGTATACCCCGAGTTTACGATAGCTATCCATTCTACCTGGGCAGCACACCTCTAAACGGCGTGATGTCATGACTCGCGAAAGTGATGGTTGATGTTTCTTTTGCTCGTCGGCTGTCGTCTGCGCTACAGATAACCGAGATCTCAGGGCTGAACAGGTTGGGGAACAACGTTGTTGATCTTAGGGCGGCCGGCTCCGTACCCGTACTGCCAAGGGCCGCGGTACCCGAGGGTATTGACGAGGCTCTGATTGAGCTTCTTGGAATGAGTCGACCGAGGTGTTGAAGTTGGGGTTACGTTGCATCATTGTCATCAACCCCATAGCATCGTTCTAGTGGGGTTCTTTTTCTCGAATGTCCTACGGCTTACCAATGTGATTTCATTCCTTTGCCATGTATTGTGTGGTATTACTGACCCGTGTTACCAGATATCTGATCATCGAGGTATTCACCCGAACGTCATCGCGAGAACACCGGTCAAGTTCGAGCGCGGTAGGTTGAAGGATATTGCGTTACTGATGCACCTTCTTGACGCACTAAGCGTGCCTGAGAACGACATCAAAGCTATCGCAATCCTACCGTGTACCATATTCCTTCTCAATGACCAACCTGAACCAATATGAGACCCCAGTACGAGTCAAAGACAGACTCTATTCTTCATAGGACATGGGCAAAACCGACTCTCGTCATTGATTATCCTCAATCCTTCATTCACATCACCACTCCCCCTTACAAAACCTCAAAACTCAACTTCGTTTCCTCTTCCCACTGTTTCGCAAACTCCCTCAGCACTGCAGTCGTCTTCCTCGCCATCTGCTTCCCCGTCTCCGTCTTCATCATCCCCTCTAATTTGAACAACTTCTCCTCAAAATGCTCAATCGCCCTATCCATAGGCTCCCCTGGCATCTTAGCCGCCCCATACGAAAAGCAACGCCCTATACCCACAGCACCGATAGCATCAAGACGATCTGCATCCTGTACAATTGCGAGTTCAGGATACGCTGCTAAGACACCCGCGGTAATAATGGGCTCGCGTATCTCGTGCGAATAAGAGACGTGATTCACGATATTGTCTACCACTACAGCCAGTTCGTAGTTTGAACCATGGTCCTTCAAGATATCCAAAATTTGCCTCTCGGCTTTTTGGCCTGGTCTGACGTATTTATGGTCGCCTACGTCGTGTAGAAGGGCGGCTAGGAAGAGGGCTGTGGTGTCGTAGCTGACGGAGGGGTCGCGAACGAGCTCGGCTTGAAGAATGCGGTTTGCGTTTGAGACGACGCGGAGAATGTGGTTGTAGTCGTGCGAGTTGTCATATTTTGACATGTAGTTGTGGACGAAGGCGTTGATGGAAGCGAAGAGGGGTTTGTACTCTTCGTGTATTGGGACTTGAGGCACTGGGATGGGGTTTGTGGGTTGAGGCGCCATGGTATGAGTTATGCGGTGGGTAGTAGGATCGATGTGGTTTAAGCACTGATATTGCTCTCTGATAGAAATCCTCTCCAGTGTTCGCACACGTAGATTAGGAAGTGACGAGCAAGTCAAAAAATTCGATCTGGACACGACGTAACGCAACAGGGCTCTGTGATGCTTGAAGAAACGACGTCTGTGTACTTTGAAAGGGCTAAGAGACGTGTAACGCGTTTTTCTGCCCACGCGGAGTCACATGATTGGCGACTTTTGTCCCTGAGACCAGCCGTCGCCCCTTCCATACTCCCCAGACACTCTGAACGGCATCAGTGAACATGACATCCCACAAGAGATGCAACCGTCTCTCTAAAATTGGCTTTGAACGAAAAGGAACAAATAGGAGTTCACTCATGTCAGTACAGGTGGAGACGAACATCCGGGGTAGCTGAGCCGCAGCAGCCTCGGTACTTGGCCGGTCGGTAGCGCACGCGATAATGGAGCCATGATCTCACCCTCGCCCATCGCTCCTATCTACACACACGTGCACTCGGACACGACCACATCCACGTCGCGCAATCGCATCATCTCGGCGCGTCAGCTGGGGCGACTGCAGACATGTACAGGCAGGCGACGCAGAAAACGGGCGAGGTGCTGTCCATGCCGTCGCAGTGGCTGGGCATGTACTCCGACTT